TGAGAATATGGAAATGACATTGTTCCCTGTAAGTTTGATAAACCGATACAAATACGAATGTCACAAGCACAGGTTCTGTAAATCGGAGGTACCATATGCATAAGATATGGTCGACCTTGTGAAGATGGAAAATGTTGCCGCAAGCAAAATTTTGTAGAACAAGTTCCCATGTCCCAGGAGTCATCACAGCGGACATGGCTGCCTCTGTCAGATCTAAGAGCAGATATCATGTTCGCCTTGGGGAGTGTGAACTTGTACACAGATATGTGTTCTGAGGTGCTGATGAAAAGGAGATCGAGTTGATTCTACTATACCTTAGTTAGGTGATGATAAGTTCAACAACATAGCGAATGGATTGTGTTCGAATACCTTTATGCGTATGTTTGTCAATAGACAATACTCTTTAATTGTAAAAGAGCAAATCTTTCAAATTGTTCTAAGGTTGAAAATCAAAAATACACTTTCTAGCGTGGAGAAAAAATGAAGATTTTTTTTTATAGAAAAGGTTGTGTATCATTAAATAGTTTGCTCTATGTCTTATACATCTATGGATTTTTTCACTCTTTAAATTCCAGGTTACGTTCATTATGAACGTATATGAGGGTTAAAGACCAGAGACTTTACAGCAAATTTGAAATATCAGAGTCTGACGGTCCCAAAACTAATTGTTAGAAAGTGAAATTTAGAGTAGCGTTGACAAGTATGCATTACTTGATCTGTGTATGTGGTATGTCCAGTTTAACATAGATAAATAAATTGTAAATGTAAAATTTAAACATATATCATTGACTGATATTGTTCAATAGAGACAAATGAAGATACAAATCTATACATATATATTAATTAAGTTTTTATATGTAATATAGACGCATTATTAAAAAAATAATATGTACATTCATGATTGAACAGCAGATTATTATCACTTTATTTTATTTGAATATATTAACAATATATATTCGATCACATCCTACTTAGAAATTTAGGTACTTTAAATCTGATCTATTTTAATCTTGATAAAATTCAGATTTAATTTGGAATCTCGAACTTTTCAATTATGACTTATTCTATAAAAATATTGTTTTTATTCTTCTGCTGATACTCATAGATGTAAAAATAAAATTTACAAATTTACAAATACTATTCAATTTTAGATACTTTTTAAATTAGAAATGTGACAAGATATCGATTGGCCATGAACAATAACTTGCTATCTATACTAATAAATATACCAATTTCAAGTATATATGATTTGATACATCAATCATTTTTCTTCCGGGGAATATTTTGTATAAAATACGTGTCTTAAATTACCTTGTTTGGATTGATTAAGAACACTTCTTCACATATCATCCCCGAAGAAAAAATATCTTTATGGAAATCGGGCTGCTGGTCTATATTTACATGTTAAATCTACAATGGTTGTGTGCAGTACACCGAAAATGTCAGTAAACATGCAGGATTGAAGCCTACTGTTAGCCAATGTAAATGAAATGACTTTACTAAGTTAAGCAATGCATAAAATATCACGAACTCCTCAACTTGATTGGAGAAAATTATCGCAATCCAATCAATTGATCAGACTGTTCCAAGGAAAGAAAGTCAATAATCATGAAAAATCTCACACAGCAGTTACTATCGAGCCAAAAGTTTCTACCCCATTTTCATCGTGCTCATCAAGCCTCCTGATCTACAGTTGTTTGTAAAATTTTGTATTCTTCAATCACATTTCAGCATCCGAATAAGTGTAACTGATCAATCAGGTGGGATAAAAGTATGAAGATATCTGAAGATATTATTTCTCAATGTGCACGAATGAAGATTGTTTCCAAGGTTTCAATCTGTTCTGTTTCCATCAAGAGTGAAGCTTATTTTTATATTCAGTATACAGTTTTCTTCAGATTAACCATCCTTGATTATCCTAATTTCATTAATATTTCTGTATCATCCAGTAATATTAAGATTTTCGGTTTTCGATTTGGTAAGTGAACTGTTACATGTTGTTATGATGGTTATGGTCTGAGTGCAGTTTTGAAGTAAAATGTTGTCCCCTCCTATCGAGTCAACAAACTCAACTTTTAAATCCTCTCGCATTGGAGCAAGTTCATTACCCATCCACTGTTGCAATTGGACACATGTTGATCATCTCTTGGTTGCAATGACATGCTTTAGGGAACAAAAAGAGTTTTTTTTTTAGTTATTAGCTTTATATATTTGTAAATTATAGATTTCAAATAGTTACAATATTGCGATATCGATCGAAATGTGCAAATATATCTCAATATATAGAGAAATGAGAATCGTACGGAACCGCTTAGAGATTTTATTTCTTATATTCGTGATAATAGTTATCCACTTGCATTCACCTTTTTGACAAGAGGCAAATTTTTAGCAGGTTGAAAATTCTGATTCTTCTATACCTTTATTAAATTTCACCCATGCTCTTGTCAACCTTTTTGCAAGTCTCGGGGATAATGATATCGGAATATACAAATATTATTCTTCAATGCACAAGATGATCGTACTTCTGCACAACGCGTGTGCAACGTCTTTATGATGGCGTCATTTTATTAAAGCAACACCCATCACTACTGTACTACTATCGTACGTGCATAAACATTAATCATAACGAATGTGGATAAAATGCGGCACACGCAGCTATAGAAATCTACATTTGATAAGGTGAAGATGAGATCGGTTGGAAAGATGTAAGATTTGATACTGAAGAATGATGAGCAGATTTAATGTTATTTCTACCAAGTCTACGACCATCTGAGATCCATAGAGAGACACTAACCGTAGCTGATAGTTATCATAACATCCAAAATAGACTGTAACCTTGCCTTTCGAGTTTAGAAATCCAATCAAATAGCTGGAAGGTGTCCCTCATGTACGCAAACATGACTAGAATTTCCGAAAAACTCAATGCATGTAATGACTCAAATACAGAATGATAGGATGGTGTACATTTACCAAATTAGATGTAGGCTGAGTCGCGATTCACACACATATACACACCAAGTATGGATGAACATGTGCGATCAATATTTGCATAATGGTCACCGAACCGCGCCAAATTTCTGAAGCATCTACAAACTGTAGCTACAACATAGACAAGGTGGTTTGACATTCTCTGCACATTCGGACTGCAGCAGCACCGTCAGAAACAGTAAGCTATGTTGCGCATCTCCCACGACAAGCTTCTCCTATAGGAACTGGGGGTGAAATATTGGATGAGTTTCCGAGGTGGAAATATTTTTTCTACCCACGGATGGAATTGTAGATTCAAGTGTTATCAATGAAAAGCATTCGAAATTTTTTTAAAGTTAGATTTAATTTTGTATAATATATATATATATAGAAAGATATGGTTTACGCGTTTATCTCACACGGATTGCGAGATGTACACTAGTTAAATGATGTGACTATCTCTCTTACTAGCGCTTTCATTCTTTTCCTCTTCTACATGATTTTAGACTAGAGACTTGCAATTCACGTTACTGGACATACAACTCCATCAACTTTACAATTTAATTTCACGGATGTGAACATTCATAGTACTATTTAGGTTCGTTCAGGTTCTTGTTCTAGCAAAAGTGAGGACTTGTGGATAAAAATTTGATAATATCTTAGAGTTTTACTGTAAACAAAAATTTCTTTTACTGTTTCGATTTGACGTTTTGCATTACAACAAAATTATAATTATCAATTTTAAATGTAGCCCAATATATCTGTTTTATCATCCATTCTAAGTGTAGATCAATGTAGAATTTGTCTCCATGGCATGATAAAATGGATGATTATGAAACACAAGGAGATCATATTGATATATTTTACGATATAGTAGTAGGAAAAGCTATATGTGGTTCGGGTTTACGATATTATTGTAATAATTATCTTTGTTTACCCAAAATATCCTTATTTTGGGTAAACAAAGAACTGAATATAGTGAGTAGAGTTAGAATCTTTATTTTGGGCAAACAAAGGCCTGAATATAGTGAGTAGAGTTAGAATCTTATGGTCGTATGTGGAACCACAAGAGCAAAATGGCTACAAAGGCAGTATATATAAAAAAATTCAGCTATTTTCTCATTTCGCCTTTAAATCATATGGAGCTTATTACATTGATATTCTTCTCTCTTTCGACTTTGCGAGAATTGAATGATGGAAATACCTTATCGCAAAATGGTTAGAATTTTTATATTTCAAGAATCTAACCACTATGCATTATTGGTATCTACAGTATTCTTTAAATAATCTACTTTTCAATACATTTTTAATCCACACCGTTATGCCATAGCTCTTCCGTTGCTCATGAATGTTTGCATCACATTATTAAGGTACGTTGGCTGCATCAGGAAATTTCCCCACCTAGGCCCATTCTACCGGTTTGGTGTCATCCATGTAAAAGGCTTCATGGGGTCGTACATTCCTTTTTGCTATATTCTTCGGTTACCCCTTGAGATAAGGAAGAACTTTACTATCCCAATGATTTCGACCTATAAAGTCAACTAGCATACTCTGCACAAGACCTGATGAGATTGGTTCGGATGACCACAGGCCTAGGAAACACTCAACATCATATACACAGGTGGACGATCTTCAACTCGGGCCAGACAAATCCCTCTCTCAGCTCATTATTATCTCTAATCCGGATCGATGGCGTGACGCTCATTGAAATGGACGTGAGGAAAAAAATGACATTTCCCTGCTTCGCAAACAACTCACTCCACATCTGGAAGTTCAGAAACATGGACCGAGATTTCATCGAATGGCTGTCAACTGTCTATACTCGCCACGCGGATGGCGTTACCTTCGGCAGGACGTGGGGAAGGTACGAATGAATGGGAACAAGGAATTACGAGCTAAAAGTTAAAGACGTCAGTTTCTGAACTCAAGATCAGAGGGGACAAACAAAAGTAGAAATAGCCATCGTTCACAAACGACGCAAAAGCTGGAATTGCAAAGACATCCAGAAGAACTTGGAAAAAGAGGAATTTAACCAGCCATCGATACTCGTACCGGGCGATTACTGTACCTTCAGTGCGGTGCACGCAATATAATATTGACAGGAGTACGAGAGAGGGTGATGACAAGAGGCCATGCACTTACCTCAGTAACTACTAGGAATCTCCTCCTCAACCATCTCCATAACTAAATGTACACAGTTTTATAGTTTATGACATGCCAAGCAGCTATCAACACTCGCTGGGCGATTTCAGTATCTCCTCTATGGGACTTGGGTAAGACAATGAAGACTGAAGTGCAAGGGACGAGGAGTCCCGAGGCGTCAGTTTCATCTGGGTGAAAGCGTTGGTCTTCCTTTACCAACGGATCACTTTATAAGCAAAACGCAAGGTGACAATATGGACTCGATGGAATGCAGCTAGCCCTGACGTTGACAAGGTCACCGATTACGTGGCACATATCCTCCAAAGTGTCGATTGTACGGGAACAGGAATATGGACGTCTTCTCGGACAGTCTTCGAAGTTCGCACTCGCCATGTTGCCCTTTCGAGGGCGTATTTACAGTAGGGTGGTGAGAAGATCTACGTGGGTGAACTACCTTGCGGAGAGAAGAAATGCCGAAGAGTCCAGATCTCACTGTTGAACCCAGAAATTTACTGTATAGAGACAACACATCTGAAATAAAGGGCTAGTCTAAATCTGCACTCTCCTTCCTGGCTCTGTCACGGTCTTTCGGGTATGTCCAGTACAGGAACGAGATCACAACAAGGCACACAGAAAAGGGCCCTGCTACTAGTGCAAAAACCCCCTTCGCAAGAGCTTCAGCGTTTTTGGCATCCGGCTGAGATTCCGAAGTGGAGAAGCCGAAGAGCTGCTCCGCTAAGACACCGACTAGTGGAGTACCCAGAGCTGCAAGCGACTTCTCGAATGCCAAATCGACGGCATAGACAGTAGTGTGGAGCTTCGCAGGAACTATCTCAGCGAAGATCGGCCAGTTGGTTGCGGGAGAGTTCCAGGACATGAGGAAACCCATAAAGAAGAATATAGTCCCATACAACCAACCGTATGCTACATCTTGGGGTATAATCAGCAGCAGAATTGCCGACAGAGGAATCCCAACACCTGCAGAGAACTGTGAACACATAATACGACCGGAGTCTGGGAAATGCTTGGCAGCGACATCACCGATCCAGCCACCAAACACTGACCCAAGCATATTGCCTACGGAGAGCAATGCCACAAGGAATGCGGCCTGAGAATTTCTAAAACCTAGAAGCTCCAGCCACAAAGTGAAAAAAGCCATGGCATTCCATGGGGTTTGGCCCACAACCCCTTGTGCTACTATGACTTGGAAAGTTTTGATTTTAACCACCCGCAGTGTTCCCTTCCATAATTCCGAAAAACTATGCGCTTCCTGAGGCACGTCAACCTCTGCTCCATCGATCAGCTTCTCTCTATCACTGCACATTATAAATAAACAAATAACATAAACATCATAAACACAACTATAAGGGTTGCTTTTCTTAGTGGCAAGTATCGACGCACTCTGTGATCAATGCAACGCTTTCATCACGATGTGAAAAGTAGAGATGACAAAGTGGTCCAGCCAATACTTTAAATCTATTCTTCATCAATACATTCTTGACATGCTTTCAACTCCTACGAAATTGTTAGAATCACAATTGTTTCTTCTCATCCATCTCTTGCTGGCTGGGACTCGTGTCTAAAGCAAGCTCCGGCAAGAAGATGTTTGAAAAAACTAGTACAAATGTTTACACTACTGTAGGCTTCACGGGTGAAAAGCTACATCTAAGAAGATCCTGGGGAGATACATCTTCATTACTCTCTATCTGGAAATCGTTCAAGCAGAAGACCTGAAACTTGCCAGCATAAGTAGGAGTATTGTGGAATCGTACATTGAAGCATTGCACTGGGTAAGGGGAGGACACCGATAAAAGCTAAGGGGATAAAAGCTTGCTTTGCTCCAGTTTGTTCATAAATCACTTCGTTTGATCTCGTTCAGAATGCGACATCTCCTGATTGTTTATCAATCACAAAAGGGAAGTGGTAGCAGCCGGAAAAGCAGTGCATCAATTTACAGAAGCAAGGAAGGAAGGAGGCAGTGAGCGAGACAAAAGAATTGACATGGAGACTTATTATCAGGAGAGAAATCACTGACAACTGATACTGACGTAGGTTTTATAAGAGAAGATTTGCAACATGGATAGGACAAGACTACATAGATTATACAGGACACGTGAATGCAGATGTGGGTGTCATCATACTGACCTGTATGAACAGAAAGCGAGCGCCAGACATCAAGGTTCAGGACAAAATCTACAAGTGTCGTTGATCTTCTTATGTAAGTTGCTATTTCTCCCAAACGTTGACAAACATTTCTGCCGTCCACTCCTTTAGCCATGATATTGTGAAGACACGGTTCACCAATTAATTTGTGGATTGCAATGCTCATGAAAAGATGGACAGGCTGAAGAGTATTACAAGGTATGTAACCTGATTTGGGTTTTATGTGGAACATTATCGTCGACGTTCGCGAAGCTGAGGATAGCAAATCCAAGCGCGATGCTGACGACCGCCACCAAAAAGAATGCAAGTCTCCATCCGTCCACGCCAAGAATTATTCCTTGTCCAGCCAGTACCGTGGCAAAAATTCCTCCCAACATGACACCCAACTGCCCAGTTCCATGGAGAAATCCAAATCCCAATCCTCTCTCATTCTCTTCGTGCATATCAGCCACAATGGACTGAATTGCTGGCACGACTATGGCCAGGCCAATCCCATTGAACACTTTCACAATGGCGGCCTGCAAAAGGTCCCAACACAAGATCAAAATCCAACATCATAAACATTATGCTCATTATACACTACTTTTCAGGTGAGGTCAGTAGCATGCAATAACCTTCGAATAAGTTATGACAGTTTCCAAAGAGTACAAAATTCTATATCAAACACAGCTTAACGAAGTTAATTTAAGAAGTTAATATAATATATGTACTTCATCTCTTAAGTCGTTTTAAATACGAGAGTAAATTCTGAAGAAGTGAAAGAGGAGTTTAACCAATCCATGCTAATATTCATAGAAGTGAAATTTGCAAGACCTCCTTATTTCCAGTACAACTTGCTCATACTTCGTATACAGCTTATGTTAGGGGTGAATACACATCTATAACTTTAAATATTTCTTTCTTGGAGATATTCGTACATGTTACAGTCTACAAGCAAGTTTAGTATTATATTACGCTGAAAGGATTATATTGAACTGAGGGGATTATGAAATTCACCCCCGAGTTGTTAAATTCACCCCGTCGCTGCAGTTGTCATTGCAACAAGGCTGTAACTTGATGGTAGATTCAAGTCTGCCTGAAAGAACACGTAATTACAGATTCTCTATGCTTCTTGAAAGTGATATTTAAATTTTATCTCAACTTGACAAGGTTTTCATTAGCTGGATATCTGGGTAGAACTAGAGAGCAAAACATTGCTTGCATTCTACAGACCTGCACCTACATATATATGTTGTTTTGCTGAAAGGCACAAGCACAGACAACAAAAGTGATATCTTATGTAGTAGTGGCCTCTGTCTCTGAGGAGTTAAAGATCAGCTCACGCTATACTCTTCATGAGGTGAAGACTCATTTCTATCACTCAATAGGTGATGTGTGATAGAAAGAGCACAGCAAGAGCTGGTTATAAATCTCTAAAACAAAGAGTCTCATAAGTCTCGGAGTGTAAATGTAGACTATGCACATTGCAAACTAGTCATTGCAACAAGGCTGTTCAATTTAAATGTCGATGCGTTGCATGGTAACATATTGCATCTTTCTCTTCTAATTTTGATCTGTATCGTCTCCAATGGAAGATCCAGCTCTGAGAGTCAGCACTACTATTTCCCGCACCATACACGATCCTTTCTAACGATACACAGGTCAAGTGCGTGTTCAAGCTCCATATTCCGATGTTTACTTCATATGCATATAAAGTATCACCACTGACAGCAGCTTGTGCAAAGTGGGTAAAAGAAAATGAGAAAGAGAGGCCGGAACCGTGTTCAAGCTCCACAACAGCAGCAGATTCCGGTGTTTCCTTCATATGCATATATGAAAGATCACCACTGACAGACGGTTGTTCATAGGGGTGAAAGAAAATGAGAAAGAAAGGCCGGAATCGATACTCGACGCGACGAGAAGAAACATTATTTTCTGACATATCTTGTTGCCATGACAACTACCGCGCGTGATTAGAAGTCATGATTCATTAAATTTCCGTAGGCTTTCAAACTGACATATATTAACACATGATTACAATAATTTTTGAATTTAAAATACTGAACGGATTGATACATGTTAGGGCAATTCCAGCTGTGATGATGTTATCTTTCAATCCACTTCATAGATTATCAATCCAAGCCGGAACATGAATGTTCGAAAAAAACTAACGTTGAACTCGTCGTATCATCAGTTAGATGAAGCTCTTATCATCAAATCTACTGAACTTACTTAAAAGACCTGGAGGGATGCGTCTGACACAAAAAATGGTCTGACGAAGCCATCACTTAAGCACTGAAAATTGAACAGAGAATGTCTAGTCAAAGTCAACACTGAATTTAAATGACTTTAGCAGGTGACTTTCATGAAATTATGTGAATATCGAAAACAAGAGCAAATATGTTTCTATGTAAAAAACCTGCGATCTAACACCTTGTGGACAGCATATTTCCAAGTTACACTGTAAGTTAAAGTCGAGATTACAGTGGACTAGGAAACATCTAGAACCAACGGAGAGAATAATCCACAAGATCGAAGTCAGAACAGACTTCTGAGACAGAAAACTTTGTTCTCGTTCAAGGCAACCCATACCTGCCAGTACGTCGTACACAAACCAACTGCTGCAGTTGCGAGGCCCCATCCGAAGGCACCGATAGCCACTACATGAATGCGATTGTGAGTAAGAGCAAGATAGGCAGCTAACGGAGAGGCGAGCGCCTGCACCAATCCTCGAATGAAAGTCAAAGACCCGAGCTGTGACGGAGATATTTGGAACGCACGACCGACCTCGTCATACACAGCGGGAAGTAAAGCCTCGTCTGCCCGTTCCAAAAGAGCTGCGCAATTGACAAGAGCAAGGGTGACAAGTCGACTGTTTGTCATTATTCCTGTACGCCTCAAATTCCTACCACCTCTGGCGATTTTCAAGCATAGCACACAGAATCATCTCGTTCTACACACGCGATCCACCAAACAACAATTTTCGAAATTGAAGTTGGCCGCCTCAGTCGAAGGATCTTCGTTCTCCTCGTCAATCAGATGCTGCGACGCGTCGCGTCCCAGAGTCTAAGTGAGTGACAGAGGCCCACTATCGGATTTCGTCTCATTCAACCAGCAAACCGTCCGTCCTGAAGCACAGAGTTTCCTGTCAGAATCTCCCAGACTTCGAACGTGTTCTCTTCCAATGGGTAAAGTGAGGAACACGCTGACTCAGAAAATGAGATCGATATCCGATGGATCGGATGGATCCATGCCGGAAACACAGTTTTCTTACATTTACTCCATTGTCACTAGAAGCTTACGTTTTTCCTTTTCTTATTTTCTTCCAAACTTACTCTAATGCAGAAATGTTACGGAAAGAGTTTTTTAAATGTTGATTGCAATATAGGTGTAACATAAATATCTTCCATTATATATATATATGAAAAAAATTTGATTACTTCATTTGAAAAAAAAATTCAATTCACTGAACTAAATTGAGATTGCATTCATGATTATTGGATAACCATATTTGATAATGTTGAATATGATTGACATGATGAATATAGTTTGCGAAAGTATGAATTAAAAAATAAACCCAAGATATTTGTTTGATACAGCATTTTAAGGTTTAAATTTTCTATTTTTTAAGAACAAGTTTTGATTATTATTATGTATCGTCAAAATATATTTCAAATCAAATGAATACATATAATATTTTCATTTTTAATCTTCCTAACAACATGTTTATGTTGAGATTAACTTGTGTGTTTGGGGTTGAACTCTGGCTAGCTAAGTTTAGCTAGCCACTTGGGGTATTTAACCCGGAGCTTCATTTGTATTACTACCATTATCAATACATATGCAATGTATTTGCTGCTCGTGAACTTATATTTTTGTGCTCAACAATATTACATCTTAGTGTATGTCGTGTGAACTTGTTGGTCTGATTTGTTTTAATGTCACTTGTATATAGTGTTAATTCTCGGTTAAGTTTCTACGGTTTCTGATAAAATATTATCAGATAAACCCTATCCTTATTTGAAATTTAAAAGTTTCAAGATAATTACTATAATACAAGGATAACACATCACACATAAGTTGATGCTTTTTCAAGTATATTATATTTGAAATGGTGAAGAAACTATAAATGATGAAAAAAAATTTGTATATTTTAATATGTTTAATTTATCATCAGTCTTTGTTATATTTTTTGTCAAAGCATGATTTGAATTAATAAATTTACTATATTATATAAATTTTTTTATATAATATGATAGATGTTAGATATTTTGTTATAAATTGTGATTCATAACATTTAATATTTTTGAAACCATATGTTTCATCTAATTGGCATTGAAGATTATTTATGTATAGTTATATTTCATGAAAATCAATGAACTAAAACAATGATCGATCTGAAAGCAAATTCAATTTTAAGCGTAGGAATGAAAATATTATTTTTTAAGATAATAAAAATAAAAAGATATGGAAAAAATTATGATTATCTACATATTGATATAATAATTAATCTTATAATTAAAAAATAAATAAATGGTCATGTTTATATCAATGTAACTTAAGATTTTGGTGTCAAAAAAATATTTGATAATAAATTGAAAAATAAGGATTCCTATTATTATACTTGAATCATTTGTTTTTTTCAAAAATTGAATATAAATTGTTGTGAGTTTTATACAATTTATAAACTAAGTTTTGATGTCAAATTTACATAATTAATTATATATTTCTATAGGTAATAAAATTTTAAAAATAAATTTATAACATAAAGTGCACAAAAAACCAAAACCACAATATGCTTGTAGATTCTACTTGCTAACAAATATGTGGTTTGCTTTTGGCTAAGTACACGACAACATAAAGATTTATTGAAAACTTTGAAATAATGTTCGTGGCTAGCTACATTTAGCCCTCTTATCTCTTATGAAGTTCAAAGCAAAGTCCTAAACATAGATAATTCGGACTTTTTCGGCTTAATTTATCACTAACAATCTCTTTCATTGTTCATGTTGTGACTACGGTAACTTTCATAACCTATATAATCATTCTTCAAAAATTTTGAGAAGAAAATCTAACATAAAACACTCTCTAAACTAGAAATACATAGAACTAATCCGCAGCCAAAACAAGATAGACTAAACATACATAAAGATAACAATACTTGATGATAAAATCTACTTGGATACCTCATGCAAAACGTGCATATTATCGTTATGTTTACTAAAACTCTCCAAATGATCAACTCATCAACTACATTGCATTTATAGTTAATATTGATTAGTTCAATAATTTATCAAAAAATGAATCTTTGATAACAGGATATTTAACGTGGACTTGTTTCAAATTACTATTCATCATTTGATAGTAACAAAGATTTAACTCACTTTGATTGTCACAACAAAGTAAATGTTTGATTAATGCATCTACAACCAAGTATAAACACATAAATCGTTGTAGATTTTATCTCGTCCAAATGAACCCATATACTAGCAAGGATTTGACATTGTATGACAAACTATCAAACTATATATTATCAAAATATATCAAAATTTTTACTACTCTTTATATATCTTAGAATTCATTTCACTACTTTCCAACTCATTTTTTAAATATCTTACATATATTTGTTTTGTACATAGTTAGAACATTAAGGTATATCATGCATATCATCAATTACAAAAGATTGTTTACAACTTTGTTATGAAAAATTGATGTCATCTTTCACTTTCAATGGCATAACTTGAATATCGAGTTGCAAAAGTTTGAAATGTGATTTCAAAATAATACATACTACTTACCGCACTTAACAAAAAGAATGAACAACAAAAAAATCACAATTTCAGGAAAACGATCCACTTCTTAACGTTTTAGTGAATTTTTGTTAACAAAAAAATCACAATTGGCGAATTCAATTTTCAAAAGAATTAGTTGTCCGCCCTGAAATAGCCCAGATGTTGGTCCAGAAAATGCCCAAATTAGAACCTATTACGAAGTCTGAACTCTGAAGAGTCTGAACCTCTTTTTACTCGTTATCTTTTGTTATTGTCTCAATCAATAAACTCTGTTATAATTATTGTCTCTTAATTATTGTCTTTGTTCCTCCACTAAGTCATTAGTATTAGCACTATTTGCCCAACGAGGAAACAGTTGCCAAAGTACAGTTGCAGTTGTATCACCATTCCGCAATGAAGCGTTTCTTGCTCTCAAATCCTGAAAACAAACATTGGAACGAAGCCCAGGAGAAGCGATGTAAATCCGAGGCTGATGCTGAAATCATAGCAGTTGCAGTTGTATCACCATTCCGCAATGAAGCGTCTCTTGCTCTCAAATCCTGAAAACAAACAATGGATCGAAGCTCAGGAGAAGCGACGTAAATCCGAGGCTGATGCTGAAACCATAGCAAAGCTGGTTCGGCGCGAAATGTACCCGGGCCTTTATCGTGAAACTATTGAATCATCAGTGGCAAGTTCCAGTTCTGAAGTTCCGAAGGAGATCATGATCGAAGCACGTCAGCGGCAACTTCACCGTTCCTAAATGCAACAGCTCCTGAAAAAAGTGAAAACTGTCAGTGCTGCTGAAGGAAAGCAGAGTTGTACAGTGTATCGTACCAGGACTTGGAAGCAGAAAGCGAAAGCAATATTCTTCTACCTGCATCCGTCATTGGGAAACCTGGATCTTGAGCTGACTTGCTCATTGTTCTCGATCAACTTGCACACCTTTCAGAACTGGATCAATCAAAAACAATATTATGGGAAATGGGTAACCTACGTCGAGAATTTAAAAGTCGTTGATGTCTTGCTCTCCATACCTGCTAAGTACAGAGTGAACTATGCGGGTGTGGACACCTCTTCCAAGGTGAATATTGATTCTAAATTTTGCAATTCTGGTTCAAAGCAACTTTTTGTATCTGCCGCATCGTCTAGCAGTTACCAAGGTGCTCGAAAGGCTGCCTCAAAATCTGATCACGTCACCTATATTCGAAACGACATGAAGACTGTCGGCTCGGAAAGAAAGGTGAAGTACCCTGAGCAAGAAACATCCGTCATCGAAGCTGTCGTTTGTGCCTGGGAAACAAGGAAACCTGTGAGCAAATCTTCTGTCTATGATTTCCTGCTTTCTAATTTTGCACACAAAAATGAAGCTGATCAAACGGAATTCGAGAAGAAGATGGATCTTCACTCGGGCCATGTTACTCCAGCATTGTCTCAGTGGCTGTCGAGAGTTCTCGAACGGCATCGATTCTCTATTCGTGTGGAGTCCATTTCCCAGACTGTCCCTAAGGATTGGTTGCAGATCTGTTTGAAGTCAGCTGCATTGATGTGAGCCAAACCTTCCCACCCTTCAGCGTTTGTAATCCAGGTGGGGGTTCGAGCTCCCATAATCTTACTTCTTTGATCTCAAGCCATGTGCTCTAAGTGTATTCAAGACAACAAGATCATAAACACTTGCTCTTCCACATACAAATTGTCCAGAACTGAAATTAACTTGCTGTCTGCTATTTTCACAAGAGCAGCAGACAAGCTCTTCGTAACATAAAGATCTAACCCAACTCTGGGTGATTTTTTCAATACTACAACCGTTGTGGGCATATCCTAGAATGAGTGCCACATCTCGGACACATTGCCTCGGACTAAGTCAAGTGACACAACCGTAGCACAAGGTGAGACCCTTCCTAACAGCAATCTTCACACCCAAGGAATAGGATTCTGCTCTCAACACTTTGCTCGATTCTTCCTCTTAGTGATCGACTCACTCTCAGCCCAGCGACCCTCTTGGCCTTCACACACACTCTCCCGCTCAACCCTCCGGCGGCACTCTCAACGACTCCACGCTTTCAACACCCTCGCTCTCAGGGATTTCCCCCTCCTCTAAGATTCCACCCACAATGTCGAGTATCAGATTTCAGTCTCAAACCCTCAGTTCCCACCTTCGATTTCAGTTCCACTTCCAATTCCTACTCAGATTTCGGTGTCAATTTCTCAGCTTCCACCTTCAAATCCCACCAAATTTCTCTCTCAGATTTAACACTCACTTTTCAGTTTCAAATTCAGATCCCGACTGTCAGATTTCAATCTCAGATTTCACTTCGATTTCAACTCTCACTCTCAGAACCTCCACTTTGACTTGAGCTCCCACTCACAGATTCAACACCTCGATCTCAGATCCCGATTCAATTTCACTCTCAGATACGACTCTCCACCCTCGAGAGTTTGCTCCCTCCTCCTTTGAAATCTCTACACTCCCTCCTAATTCTCACGACTTCCCCGCAAAAATCACTCACATACACACTCTATCCCTGCCACCGATCCCACCAGCGTCCACACACACCAGTATCCTTCAAGATCTCTCTCCCAAGGCCGAATTTCCTCTCCAAAAGTCCAGGGCTGAGACACCCACAGGCCGCGTGAATGCCGTTCCCGCAATGATGAGTAACGGTCTGCTTCCCATATGCGACTTCATGCCCCGCCGTCCTGCTTCCCACGCTTGACTTCACGCCGCCGCCGCTGCCACACTTGTACATTCCACATTCATGACCACGTCAACTTCCGCCGTCCGAAATCTTCTTCCGCGCACCGCCGAAGGCATCCCATCGCCGAAGACACTCTTCTGCACCTTTGCCTATCTATAATAATCACTTCCGACACTCATAACTCACTGATCCCTAATCCGTTTGAAACGTTTCTGGGCTCGTTCAAACAAGCGTGTTGAGCTCTTTCAAACGAGCCCCTAACTAAGTTAAACCGTTAAGAATTGAAAAAGTTATCACGGTTTTACCCTTCTGCCGAAGTGCTACCGCCGAAGGCTTTGCCCCGAAGGCCCGCCGAAGGCTTGCTACCTAACCCTTTCAGCCACTTTAGACATTCATAACTCATTGAGCCCTAATACGTTTGAAACGTTCTTGGGCTCGTTGGACCGAGTGTGTCGAGCTCTTTCCAACGAGCCCCTAACTAAGTCAAACCGTTAAGATTTGAAAAAGTTATCACGGTTTTACTCTTCCGCCGAAGGCCCTTCCCCCGAAGGCGTGTTAACGCCGAAGGCGTCCATCGCCGAAGGCCTCCATATAAGTAACTTCCGACACTTCTAACTCAGTGATGACTTATCCGTTTCGAGAGTTCTTGTTTTTGTTGGAACGAGCGTCGCGAGCTCTTTCCAACAAGACCCTAACTAAGTCAAGACGTCACACATTGAAAACGTTATGAGTGTTTCACTGTTTCGCCGAAGGCCTTTCCCCGAAGGGACTTCACCGAAGACCTTGCCACGAAGGCCTCCTTCCGCACCTTTTACTACTAGCCATTACACCAACTCCTAATCTTGCCAAAACTTTCAAAAAACTCCAAGCATAATTTTGCAAGAGCTTAAATCCAAAATTTTAACTCTCATCAAGTTAAAAAGACATGTGAACGCATTTTTGTGCTCACAATTGATTTGCGAGACAATGCGTTATGCTGGAGTGACTCATCTGATTAATGCAGACGAAATGTTCTTTCAGTACTATCCAAAGGAAACCCATTTGATCGCCTCGACGAATGCGAAGAGAGTTGGTTCCAACCGTGCCGAAGATGGCAAGGAAGAGTGCACGGTGGTAGTTGCATGTGAGATGTTTTAGTCTACACTTCTAGCTCCATTCATTGTCATGACTGAACAACTTGACGGTACCCTTTCTCGCCGTTTCTCGAGCTGGGATGGGAGCAGCAAGGTCACGTTTCATCCTAAGCATTGGATGGACAAGCCTGGTTGTTGCAAGTTCTTGGACTGGTTGAGTTCGTGCTTTCCTGGGGAAAAGATTGGCTTGATATGGGACGCTGCCACCAGTCACCTTTCGGAGGACGTCAAGGAGAAGGTAGCCGAGTTGAACATTACCCTGGGAGACATTCCAGCGGGATGCACCAGTTTAATTCAGATTTGCGATTTGATTGCGAACAAACCTATCAAACAAGCGTTCAAGAAACGATATGTGGCCTGGAAGATGCGTTCAGATCCCCCAGGCGGGAAGTACAAAGTCGACCGCAGAGATATCATTACCTGGCTTGAAGAGTCAATGAAGGAGATGAATTCACGCATGGCACCGCAGTCCCAGATTGCCCAGGCATTTAACACATATGGACAGGACTTCCGATCGTCTGAGCAGTCCAAATTTGCTGAATATTTGGCAAAACATGAAGAGAATGGAGTCTATCGCGCCCTACTCGGCAACCAACGAAGCTTTGACTTGGAATAAAGCGTTTGCGACTTGTTTTGATTTTGAAAATTGTGCCTCAAATCTTAACAAAATAATCACAATTTTTGCTCGAAAAATGCCACTTTTAACATTAAGAATATCACTTTTTGAGTTTGGCGAAAATCATTCTTTTTGTTAAGTATAGTAGATTGGTTGATACTTAAGCTATCAAACATAAGTTGAATCTTTTGATTTGATTTAGTCATAATTATGTTTTCCAAATCTTCTTAAATATTTAATGTTAAACGTAGATCTTGAAATTTCAAAATTTAAATTTTTTTTTGAATTTTAATTTATGTTAAAAATTCAGAGCTGATTCAAAATGTAAAAAATATCTAAATGATTAATCTTTATATTAAAAAATTGTGTTGTTCAAATGAAATCTATATGAAAATTTTATAAATAGAATTATTATGTTCTTTGTATATCTGATATATTTCATGCTTAATATATTAATAAAATAAAAAAAAGATTAATAATAGGCATGTAATTAATTAATTAGGTAAATACAATCGTTTTTATTTTGTAATATTATGTTATTTAAATTTATTTTTTTCAAGAGAAATTTAGAGTTTATTTCTAAAATTTAAAAAAAATTAGTAAATGGTTATGATGGATGCTATTAATTATAAAACTTCCAGATGTATATTTTTCTATTTTTTAAAAATACAATATTTAGTAAATAATTTGTACTAAATTATGTATTGTGTGCTGTATTGGCCACACATGTATATAAAAACGAATAGTTAAACGTGAGATTCAATCTCCTCAAGGGATGTGTACTTACAAAGCTCTTTCACTTCTTCGAATCGAGTGGTAATGGGTTCCCATGGAATTTCTATCACTCAAAATAAAGCGAAAAGCTTGGTCAATTCTGTTTTAAATGTTCCCTGGCTTGTTGTCTATTTCTAGGTCACGAGCTTTAAAACACAAGAACCATCATGATTTTTTCAGTGCCCCACTTGAGTGAGAGCCAAGGTGAGATTCTTGCTGTAGGCCAAACGCTGACAGCGTGAAGGAGCTGAGACTCGACGAGGTTTTGATACGATGCTTATGTTGCTGTAGCTGGGGGCAATTAGCACGTGAGCGGACTTTGCGAAAAGAGAGACAGGTACGCATGATTTCTATCGCCAAGTCTAGGCGAGACTGCGGACTTCTGGATCAAGCTCGCGCTGATCAGGATCAGTCAGCATTCGTCCTAAATTAGAACATCAATAGTTCATCTTCACTTTGCCACGTTTCCTCGGCGAGGAATTATCCAGTCTGAGCTTTTGCAGTACGCAGACTAAGTTGTGGAAAATTTTGTCTGCGATGATTCCAGTTGAGGTTTCACCTTTCGATCACCAATCAAAGTCGGCGACCTGGTCCACTCCAAGACATCGAATCTTCAGCAGCAAATTGATTGCTGTAATATAGTCTTGAATCATCATGGATACCTTTCCCAGAACTTGAAATCTTCGAACAAACAATATATAAATTTCATACTATATTAAATCGAATCCTGCTAAGCCCTCCTGGAGTTGTGCTATGACGATTGAGTAAGAGTTTGGAAATCTTGTTGGTCGAAGACTAAGAGAATTTAGGTGTTCTTTGTGAAGGAGAGCCCACCATCATCGTGATCATAAGCGTTTCATCAGAGGCTTGGTCTCTGTCTGTCTGGTGCAGAGAGATAGACAACATAGAGCAATAGATACCCACCGAAGCTTGCTGTTACTCCATGACATGCTTCTAGTGCCTGTTTCGCCATCGCAGTATCATGACATCCACTCATGTTCAGAGAACAAGGTTGATCGTTCAAAATCTAGACAAGAATCATAATTCATCTGCGCAGAATCTCGCAAAGCAAGGGGACTCCGATGACAGGTCCTGTCCTCGACGACAACGCCAGAGCTGGTGGCCAAAATCGGATCAAGCCGGTAAGTGCAGTCCAGTGCAATGCATACAATATTAGCCATGCAGTTCCATAATACTCCGGTTGTATATCGTCTTGTGCACCAGATTGTAGTTATCCTTAACGAGAGAAATAAGCCTTTGGTTGCTGTACTTAGACGTATTGCGCAGAAGGCTCAATGATTTTTTTAAGAGAACATTTTACTCAAGCATGAGGATATCTTCTCAATTAGATATTTGACCGGGCAGCAAAGATGTTTCAGTCAAGTCTGTCGTCAATTGTTGCTTGTAATGTGTTCGGAAAACAGATGGATACTGCTCGATCATCGAAAGATAACATCCCCTTCAAGCCAGCGAAGAATATTCCCGCTTGTAAGCTGATTGCACAATAGGATTAGATATCTCTTGCGAAGTCATATTTCTCTGAGTTTTACGCAGGCGTCTTGCAATCTGTCTATTTTAGACTACTACTGAGTAGGAGCGATTAGTACCAATTCAGACAGGGCCTGTGGATTTAGAAGCACCAATTGAATGGAAACATTCTCCCATTTAAGCCATGGATGTCCACAAAGATCATACAATTCGCAGAACAGGAGCAGTGTAGAGGAAAAAATCATCATATGTCTTTCAACGCTTGCATATAGATACTCTAACGTACTCTTGCCCTACTTCAGCTCGGGACAGGGATATAATGGAATATTCATCATCTAAAGGAATAGCTGGAGTTAAATTCGAAGACAAGAAGGGATTGGGAGGTTGCAGAGTTCAGTGATTCTGGGTGCAGGACTTGTTACGTGTACACTCTATGTAATTTTGTTTCAACAATCAGCAGCAGATGTATCCCTCGAGAAGTTATGACAGAAAATTATCTTGGAGAGCAAGGCAGGCAGTATTTCTTCCGCTCGAAAGTCGCACCTCTCGATCAGATTCTGGGGAGGAATTGCAGAGGGTTCCTGCACCATCGTTTGATTCCTGTCTTGACGGTTGCATTGTGTATCCAATCATGATTTGTACAGTATCGAGCTTACTGATGTTCAGAAGTTTTTCTGCTTACCATGTGAAGCAGGACTATGAAGTTCAATAGAACTTCATTCCGGGTTTGCTCTATGTCAAAGGCGTGTACTCTCATTGTTGCACTATAAATTTCTTGGATAATCAATTCAGCCTTCATTTCACGCTTTAAAGGAGTTTTACAATTTTTTCAAGTGATTATCAGATCGGTGTGAGTGATGGTTATGGTCGTCGACTCTACTTGAACAAAAACTTGAGCTAAAATCGATGTATCGATTCTCGATCGTACAAATTTATGAGTACTTGATGGGAGATGATCAGCTCCTTTGTTAGAAGTTTGAACAATAAGCATGCCGCTTGATTCTTCCTCATGAGCAGATTTTTTCATAAGCTGATTTCAGATGCGTGAGTTTTGGTCATATGATCGTCATGCAATAGTCACGTCAAACACCATCGATCGTACGCGATACATTCTATCGATCAAAAGGCTTTTCACGCTTTTTTGCAGTTCTCGTAAAGATAACTTGTTGTTTCATGTGTGATGCTGGTAATCGTTCCGAACTTGATCCTTTTGATCACTGCCTACAGTGATCAAATGGCGAATACGAAAAGGGTGAAAAGATCCGTATTGACTAAGATTCCAAGATTGATGAACGTGCTGTACACACTGTTTTCAGTATCGACGAATTCGACTCACATCTCTACGCGGAAAAGATTTGGAAGGTGCTAATTGCACTCATGACGCCATTTAATCTTTATGGAAGTTTAATGGACACAAAATGCTAGATCGGTGTTGAGTTCCAAAGTCGGGGCTTCATCAAGGTTCATGCTCCAAGTTTCAGTTGGTAGACCAACTACGGTACAAATTGTTTTTTTTTATTTGACCTTTGAATCGAACTTTTTTTTTTAATGATTCTTCGAAGGAGGTATCAATATTTTAGATGCTAATTCTTTCGAAGATTCAAGGTTGGAGGTTCTATGTCGAGGGCAGATCTCAAGATCCCCGCGTTCTTATACTCAAACTAATGCTAAATCACTAGAGCTAAAAACTATCCAACTTTTTGATGTCCTTGTCTACCAATCTCGTCTCCACTGATTGTGGAATCAAGAAGTTTGATTGTCAAATTTCTTCACATACTTCCTATGGCAATCACAGCTCTTTCTGTCAGCCGAACAACAACGTCGTATAAACACTGGGCAGAGTCCACAACCTCCAGACTGGGGCCAAATATGGCACTCGAAAAATCAAAGATGGCTGTGCTTATGATTAGAGGTCACATCCTCGGCATAGGATGCGACCTCTAATTCAATTCAGCAACCGGTAACTATTTCGAAAACCCACTGGAATTGATTTCGCTGAAACGAATGATTTCAAATGGAAAGCTGTCATCTTTTACGGAACCAACAAAAGCACGGTGGGAATACATAGTAGAAAGAATATGTCTGTAAGTTGTAATTTCGTGTATGGAAGGGCTCTGGAAATTAGTGCTGACAAGTAGTACGAAAGAGATCAAAATAAAGCTTTGCGCATGCACTATGACTAACGACACGACGTTACGAGAGGTAGAAGCAGTGCCGAACGTATGTACAAAATAGAAATATACGAAAGCTCTTCTTAAGTACAGCGATGACTGCTAACAACAATGACGATGGAATTTGTTACCAGGTGTCTTTGCGAAGGCATACAAGCAAACGGGATCACCTGGAATACTTCCGCTCAGTATTTCGCCAAAGTTTGTTCACCATGCATGCTACATCTGACAGATATCTATTATCGAATAGGAGAAGCGGGGTCAAAAAATGTGGTCTAAAGAATTAGGCCTCTGAGGCATGTACAGTATGCGAATACCATCTGCTTGTTGGATGAACATGTGGGTCTCTCCTGAGTTCGTGTCAGAACTTTGGGCCAGGACCTGTGTCATAACAATGATGCCACCAAGAACCAAAAATCTAAGCCCAGTCAGAATTGCTGAGCCAAGTCATTTCCAGCGACTGCTATCTGCTGGCCTTCTTATGCTCTTCGTTGATATATACCATCAACATCAACGTTCATGAGCTTCGCCATTTGCGGAGCTCAGATGCGAAAGGTTTGTTGCTGGTTGACAAGGGTTGTAGATAGACATTGTGAGCTGATAACGAATTAATAACCGACTTTCGGGTCTCGCAGATATTGACTTTGCCCCAGATGAGGCGCGGAAGCCATGGAGAACCTTGAGACAAGATTCTATAAATGGTGACATGAATGTGAATATATGAATTACCCTCTGAAACGAATGCTCAGCTACAGAGTATGTCTCACCAGATGGGTTGGACAATATACTGCAAGAGTGAGCTGAGTTATCTATCCCATATTCCGTGAAAACAAGATTATAACGTCGTTCTGCTCTTGGACTATTGAATAATTTACCTCTTTCGTCGCTGATCTCCTCCGCAGGACAAGGTTTGAGAAATTGATCCACCCGCTGGGCGAGTTAAGCTGAAGGAAGCATCCGGACGACCAGCGATCAAGCTTGGTCAAGCTATGGCCTCTCTTTCAATCCATAGTGGATTTTACTGTTCTGCTTGATGTTACTATGTGTATATCTATAGTGATGACGTATGTTGGGGAACAAAATCTGCGCAACTTGAACGCTGATTCAATTGTTTTATGACAAGCAAGATAAAGCCTGTGCGAAATCTCTTTAATAATGTGCTCCGCCCTTGTGAGTCCAAAGGAAGGCATCTGGAAGGAGCTATGTCTCTCTGTGTCTGCCTAAGGGCAACCCACAAATTGATGAATAGACGATGCAGTGAGATCTCAATGAGGACCTTACCGATATCTCAAGGCTATAAATTAGAGATGTCAATACGATTCAATCAACTCGGTCTGGCAGAGATATCTTTCAGCAATAACATCTCAGACTCTGGTCAGTGTTCTTTCTCGTATCTCTTGGGACTGGTTTGCCTCAATATCGTAAAAACTGGCGAATTCAAGTTTAGCACTAGGTTCTTCTTCCTATCTGCAATATTCGGAGAAATCGTCCACAGTGAAATTGCCACCAAGAGCCTCTTTCTTTTCCTACAGGTCTTCGTGTACGTTTGTAATTTGTGAGAATGGCCGAGCACTTGACAGACAGCAGATGCCTCCGGCTCTTTATCAGGGAACTGAGCTGCGAATGACGTGCACAGGAAAACTCACTGCTTGACTCATTATGCTTGCTCATGCAGGTTGTGTAATCACGATCAGTAACAACTGCAACTACATGGTGACAGCATGTTCTCAAAGCGGGCAACAGAACATTGATCAGTACGATCTGAGTGCCGGAACTTCACAAGTTATCGATCTGGGCACGGCATGTAGCTGGCCATCTGCTGTTGTGTATGCTTCCGTGACGAGACAATGTGCAGTCACAGGGACTCCTTACGCGGCTACGGATAGAAACTTAGCCAACTTAGCTGATCTCACAATTCCTGGCTCTGGCAATCAAGACTTCTACGACTTGAGTAACGCTGTGAGTATTTCTTTCCTCTGCGAATTGCTAGACGATGGTGTTGAATTTGAGGTCAAAGTTTCTATTTCTCCTCGATTTTCTGAGTGATATCGGAGACAATAATAGTGCATCGAAATTTGCATCTGTTGTAAGCTTTGACGGCAGACATGTCTTGTTCTCATCGTTGCGGATGATTTGTTTAATTTTGTTTGGGATGCGGATATGAGCCAGATAGTCGGATATACGTAGAGCAGATTTCTGTGCTGCAATCTCAGATACTGCTGTTGGTCATCAACTACTGTCATTCACCATCACTCAGTTAAATGCAAGGCTCAAAACCACAAGAACATATAACAAGTCGATCATTACTGATCATAATAATTGTTGGTCCCTCGAACCCCACGCAGAATGCTTACATCATTCCGATGTCTATCATCGCCCACGGATTGTACCTCTACAACCTTTTCCATCAACGATATTAAATAATGTCTTATATTTTGATCTATCATCCAGTGTTTAGAATAGTCTAAATTCCAGAATTTAAACGATTCTACACACTGGAAGATACATCAAGAAATAAAATTTCATAATCGGAGCGAGTGGGACACATGGACCTAGAGGTGCCATCATCGAAGTTGTAGCTGTAAGCTTGAAGGCATCCTGCTTTGAACTGCATCGTGCCAGCTGTAGGTCCCAGGCTGGCAGTTCCATCGGTGTTGACGCAAGAAAGGGCAACAGTGGCTAGTGTTTGTAGAACATTGTTGGGGTGACAGAAAGAACTTTCATTCAAACGGGACGGTCTATGGGTCAATAACGATGTGATATAATTCGTGATTGCAACAACGAGCAGGTTGCTATACGAGGTATGGAATTCAGCACGTTCTGACCACTGTAAGATCGATCATTATAATCACGAGGTTACCTGATGGAATACGATGGTCGCTGATGGAACAGATTATGGAACACATACATAACATTGAGATTATCAAAGTATGTTGCAGACAATATATTGCCTAAACCTCTTGTCATGTTTTAAAAAATGCAAAATATTTGTTATCATTTAGATTTTGCTCTTAATTGAGATTCAAATAAATATTCCTTTAATTATCAAGTAAATAAAATTTTCTTTTTAGATCAAGTATTTACCCTTTTGAACATTGATTTACTCTCAATTTTTGTTGTCAATAATTGCTTGCATGTCTTCACAATGCTTTCTTCATCTCATACATGACTGGATTTCATTACTTGAAGAAAGTTTGATTTATTTCAAAAAATCAAAGCTATGATATCATCATCTTTCATAGATACAATCTTATGGTTTCAATATTTCTATGTGACAAATCATTTACGTGCGCATAAGACTATCAAGATTCTTTTTGTTTTATATTCTCTTGTGATGGCATGCATAGATTTTTGTCATTCTTATAATTCTAAATTTGCATGTATTGATTATAAAGTGCTGGTTTGTAGAAGCATGCACTTGTGACTTATCATGAAAACCATGGTACTTAAAGTCAAGATCTACATTCACAGTAACAAATATATTCCAAGAAATCAGAATAAGATAACGTGATAAGCTTCAGTCATCCTAAATCCACCGAACTACAAAGATTCTTTCATTGCGATTCTAAATTGTGTTTTCAGGAGTTACACCAGCTAATTATACAATGTCAAACTAGCTGATTTAA